GATGCTCTGCAACATCAAGAGGGTAGCAGTGGGGCTGCAGATGGAGGTTCCTCCAGCAGGACCAACTCACAGGGCTTAGGAGCAGTTCCAGTGCTTAGACTGGATGGCTGTTGCTGATGGCATGGCTACTGCTGTTACCTTCTGGGTGTTCTTTCCTTCTAGATGAACCCTCTTTTATGTGACCTCTTTTAAATTCAGAGAGGTTTTCAAAAGCCACTCTAGGTCTGCGTGGTTTGTGGAAAGAGCAGGACTGCAGCCTGGTAGGTTTTTCCATCTAAGCCAAGTCATGCACGGCCAGGGCTAGAAGAGGCTCTCAATGCCATTATGGGCAGGTGGGAAGAAGGGGAGCCAGCAGCTAGTGGTGACTCCTTTAAAGACAACTCAATATCTCTGATAGTGAACACAGGGCCCAGAACTGAACACAGGATTCGAGGTATGGCCTTGAAGGACGGGACCAGTGTTGGACCTTTGTCTACCTGAAAAGGGAGGCTGGCAGAGATGAGTGGTGCCAGGGCAAGGGGATCCTTCAACGGTAAGGGGTGAGGTGGGAGAAGAAGGGCTTAGACTCTGCAGCAGGAGGGCTTTATTGAAGGAATGAACTTGCTGGGAGCAAGTTTGCATCCCCAAACCCACACTGAGCCTGACCACTTATGAGAACAGGCTGTTTCACACCCTGGAGAGAAGATATGGATGCACACACAAGCAAGGGTCAAATACTCATGTTTGTGCAGCCTTCCCTTAGCCACAAACAAAGATCTGAGCCTACTGTGGGGATGGTAAAGGGATCAGACGCTTTGCAAAGGTTAGGTGTGGAGCAGCGAGATGCTGATTTACACAGGTCTGTGCATAGCTGCGAAACAGATTTTCCATATTTCAGTAGCCATATATGCCTTCTTGGGACGTACTTGTAGGAAAACTGCACAAATGCATTTAGATACATGGAGCTGTTGCAAATCCCAGGCTGGTTTGGGTTGGAAGGAACCTTAAAGCTCCTCCAGCTCCAAACCCTGCCACGGGCAGGGACCCCCGTGTCCAGCCTGGCCTTGAACACTGCCAGGGATGGGGCAGCCACAGCTTCTCTGGGCACCCTGTGCCAGCACCTCAGCACCCTCACAGGGAAGAAATTTATCCTCACAGCAATTCCCATTAGAGCCACAACCAGCAAGCTGCTTCCCCTTGCAAAGCAGCCCCCAAAATGTCCATTTCTTTGGATTGTTTCTCCTAAGTGGAAAACAAAGAAAAACCAAAGAACCCCCCTGCAATCCCATGGCGTGATGGCAGTCCCTCCCTCCCCAGCCGGAGGCAGGTGAGCTGCTCTTCATCCAACATGTTGCATTGGCAAGGTTTGCCCATGCTTTATTTAATCCCCAGCACTTGCACGTATCAGACACATTCCTGAGCCATCAATCAGAGCTGAGTCAGCCAGCGTGACTGGTCTGTCCTTTGCTGGTTTTTAGCAATCACAAGTTCTCAGGTCTGGTTTGCTAGCAGTGAGGTGGGGGATTATTTATCCTTCTAAAATAAGCCTGGGACTTCACTGGGAGCAGGGAAATGTGTCCATTGTCAAGCATAACCTTTAAAGCCACCCTGTCTAGAGGAACGTGTCTCTGTGATGCTATAAATGTGATGCTACAAATGCGATGCGACAAATGTGGTGCTTCACATGGAAGAAAAGAATGCTGCCTGGGATGGAACTGGTCCATGAATGTTTGTATGGATCTCTTCCTTTGCATGGATCTCCTGCATGAATGGCATGGTACAAGCCCCATCATGTCCATACATGCAGGAAGAATCAACTGGGTTGGAAAAGCCCTTTAAGCTCATCCAGTCCAACCGTTCCCAGCACTGCCAAGGCCACCACTGCCCCATGGCACTGAGGCCTCATCTCCACGCTGTGTGAACACTTGCAGGGACGGTGACTGCAGCCCTGCCCTGGGCAGCCTGTTCCAATGCCTGAGCACCCTCTGGGGAAGGAATTGTTCCTCAGCTCCATCTAAACCTGCCCTGGGGCAGCTTGAGGCCGTTTCCTCTTGTCCCATCCCTTGTTCCTTGGGAGCAGAGCCCAGCCCCTCCTGGCTCCATCCTCCTCTCAGGCACTTGGAGGGAGCCATCAGGTCCCCCCTGAGCCTTCTCTTCTCCACACTGAACCCCCCAGGTCCCTCAGCCCTTCCCCATCACACTTGTGCTCCAGGCCCTGCACCAGCTCCAGTGCCCTTCTCTGGCCCCGCTCCAGCACCTCAATGTCTCTCTTGGAGTGAGGGGCTCAGAGCTGAACACAGGATTCAAAGGGAATAAAGGCTTTTTGAAAGGTCTGTTCTCTCACGGAGCAGCCTTGGAAGTGTTGCCTCTGGGAGCAAAGCCTTCCCCTGTGCTTCCTTGACAAGGACAAGGTTATCACAGCCTCAGAACAGCCCAGGGAAGGCAGAGGAGCAGTGCTGCTGTTATGGCTACATGGAATCTCAGCCCACCGTGCCTGGTGGCACTATCAAAGCCTCAGCACCCTTGTGAGATTCTCTGCAAGGCTGTGCTCCATGCCCTACAATAAGGCTTAGGTCAAGGAGACAGACGGGTTGCTGGAGATTGGAAAGAAGAATAATTGAAAAACAGTAATAATCGTGTGGTTTCTGGGGCACAGGCCCTCCCTGCCCTCAGGGTGCTTGCAGGAACGGGCATTGCCCTGCAGCCTCCCCAGTCTGCACGTACACCTAGGGAGAATTTAATGCAGATGCCTCAAGGTTAAAACCAGAGACGCCTCCCCTCTCCCATGAGGGTCCCTGTTGCAAAGAGCAAGCGGGAGACAGAAGGCAGATGGCACCCAAGCACCCTGGCTGCACCACAGCAAGCCCAAAGCAAGGTTCAACCTGCTCAGAAAGCCCAGGGAAGATGAGAGCAAGGGTTGTACATCAGCCAGCAGTGGCTAAGCACAGAGCCGAGCTGCAATGCACAGCAGTCCACACCTCTTTGCCCCTTTTGCTCCCAACAAGCTTTCAGATGCACAACTGCTTGAGGGGGATGAGCATCCTACTGCATGGGGAGCATAGACCCATGATGTGCTATGGGGCATCCCTACAAAGTCACACCTTTCCCTGTTCTTCCCCATCTTTTCTCTCTGAACCCAGGAAAGAAAAAGGGCAACAACCATCTTTGCAGGGAAGTTTAGTGTTGCTTGAGGGAGGCCTCTGTGCTCCTGCCTTCAGGGCAAAGACAGCCGTGATCTCAGAGGACAGGTCTTGTCCAGCCCTTAGGCTTCATTTAGCAGGTATTTGGGTTTAGGAACTGTACTAGATATCTGAATAAATGGCTGGTCTTACCCAACTTGCTGCCTAGATGAAGATCTAGGCAGGACATCACCTGTATACTCAACAGTGCCGTAGCAGAGCTTGAGTATTTAAGTAGGTGTTAATGATTGGTTGGAGGAATGACAACCTTAACTCAACAGATGAGCTCCTCATTCACCATAACACAAACCTTAAAACTGCTGTAACATGGCCAGAAAGAAAGGATCAAGCAATGGAATCCAAATGGGTCCTCAGAAAACCCACTCTGGGTTATGTGGCACAGGAACATACATGTGAGGCAGGACGGGATGGCACAAGCTACACACAAGACGGGCCCAAGAGTGTAATTCCTAACACAAGGAAGAACCAGGCCATGTCTGTATTTCAACAAGATACTTTATTGGTCCAGCAACTGCAAAATATACAAATTTCTGAAAGGCATACCCTGTTTTTAAGGTGGCACAGCTTTATATCAGGCAATTATTCCAGACATATACAGAACTGTTAACATACCACAAATCAACCCCCCCAAGGAACTACCCGCTTCTCTCCAAGCTTTGCAGTATACATTAAATAAATTAAAGAGTGCTTTGCTATCAAAAACCAAAAGTTAAAAAAATAAATTCAAGTATCACAAAGGAAAATAAAACCAAGAAACAAAACAATTAGGTAGCAGGGAAAAGAAATCCTCTGTGTGGTTTGAAGAGTCCCTTTCTCCCCATCCACCATCATTGCCTGGTCCTTGGCTCCATTAACCAAAAGCAATGGGCAGTGAGTTTGTGGGGGCAGTGCGATGGGATGGGGCTGACACCATCCCACCTCCTTCCTACCAACCCCTCCAGTATGAAGGGACCTTTCTGCTGCTCAAACACTAATTTTCCCCTTGCTGGAAAAAAAACACCCGGTTGAAATTTCATCTTTTTGTAGACCTATGGAGACTTCTATTATTCCCAAAGGGAGAAAGTTTAAGGTCAATTTTTTTTTTTTGCTGTTTGATTTCTTTATATATATATATTTATATATATATAAATATACACACAAATACACACCAAAACATCTGCAGAATTACATGTGTACAGGATTGATCACGGGGCAGCCAGATGTCATGTTTGCATTTGCCGGCTTATCTTTTCATAGCAGGAGGAGAAAGATAAGACTCCCCGAGGAAGGAGGCTGACAAAAAGCAATTTGCCTTCCAAAAACACTCATTTTTCTCTCTCTCTCAAAGGCAGAGAAACCAAAAGGGCAGATGTCAACTGCTCACACAGGGAGATGGCTGCTTTTAATGTGATTATTAAACTAAAAAGGGCAAGGGTGGAGGGGAAGTGTTCTTTGTTTCATCTGTACAGGAATATAATACACATATGCACAAGCTCACACGGGCAGGGCACTGGAGACCATCTCCTCCAGTGGGATATAGACTGAGCGTGGTTCTGGTCTCCTCCTGCTGTTGGTGCTGCTTCAAGCATGAGGCTGAAGCTCTAGGCACTGTGGTTCACCTTTTCCCAAAGGAAGAACAGACCAAACCCCCTGCAAACACATATACATGCCAAAAAAAATTATATAATTTCTCCCCAGACCTCTCTGCTCCTGGCTGTAGGGATGTTGTTTCCTACATAAAGGCCTGAGGAAAGCTCAGCCGTGCAGCCGAAAAAGCATGATGAGGGTGAAGATGGTGTATATAGCAGTGAGGAAAGAAACCAAAACAACCCAAAACCCTAAAAAAAAAAAAGTTAATATTCAAAAATCCACTGATTTTGCACAAAGCAATAGTGGTTAATTGCCATATAACTGCTGTCTCACAGCCTGGGACAGGCTGCCAAGAAGGGATCTTGCATATCAAACCCCTGGGAGTTGGCTGATGGAGTCCAAGTCAAGACCTCTCCCCCAAACACACACACACACACACACCTCGAATGCTGCAACTAGTTTTGTAGTCCCAGCTTTCCAGCATGCAAAATAAAGAAGCTGCCTGTATTCAGGCTTCCCCTGTTAAGGGGCACAATTAGATAAAAACTAAAATAGTTATGCTCCTGCCGCAAATAAAGTGCAAAACCCAAGCGGTTTCTAGGTATACACATGTACACACGTGTGCGCATGTATATATGTAAAATTAAGAGAGAACACAGACAAAACTGTCCCCTTCTTGTGGCTTGCTGCAGCCACAGAGGGCTTTCTGCATCCCAGCCAGACCTCTGGCCACCTCCATAAGACCTGTGTGCCTGCAAAATGCATCCAGCTCAGCCTGTCCACCTGCAGTGACACAGGGATTGACCCCTAAACTGCCCCAAATCTCCGCTTTCCTCTAAGGAAGAGCAAAGAGGAGATGAAGTACCAGCACAGCACCTCAACCAGTGCTCAGTTTCCCCTCCCATATCAACACATGCTTTAACTCGGACCATTCCATGGTGCTGCCCAAGATGAAAGCATCATCCAAACCACCACTGGTGTGGCTTCCCCTATGCTACTGACAGCTCACAACCAGTTTTAGAAGCAGATCTACATTCTCTGCAAACCCCTTTAAGGTGTACCGAGTAAAACAAAAGATGTTTTGGGGTCTTCTTTCCTTGTTAAACCCAAAGTTTTCACTGTGAAGGACTTAACACAACTGCCTTCCTAGTGCTCGCAGGCCTGGGTGAGCCAGGCTTGGTGTGCGACAGGCTGCAGCTTGGCTAAACGACTTCGTGAAAAGGAATTAATCATAATTATAATAATAATCATAAAAAACTGCAAAACCCATTTATTCCCCCCCCTTCCCCCCATCTCTCTGCTAACCCCGCACCATCCACATATATACACACCCCACCCCGAGAAGGATGGGTACCAGTCATCTCTACAAAAGAAGATCAAAACTGCTTGCAGAAGGAAATGAAACTCCTGTGCGCTAGGAAGCACTTTACAGCTTGCTAGGATCTAAACAGGAGGCTGGAGAGGAGAGCAAGTGCTGCAGCCTAAAGATCTGGTGGTGACCCCGGGATGCTCAGCTCCTCTCCTCTGCTCTCTTGCATCTCTCCCCTCCTTCAGCAGAGCGGTTTGCAGATGAACGGGCACGGGTAGAAACAGATGAGGGTCGACCTCGCTGCAGATGGAGGAGACTGGTTTATAAGCAAGCTTTGGAAATGGCGGTAGGATGGGAAGCTGGTGGTGTTGCCACTGGCATTGCCACAGCGCCAACGGAGTCACGACAGCTTCTGCGAGGTGTTCATGTTCTGAAATGAGAAGGGAAGAACAGTGGTTGGGGTGGTGCTTGGGTCAGACCCATCTTCTACATAGATATCAACAAGGGGACAAAGGCTAGTAACAGAAAGCCACAGCACGGGTCACTACAAAAGCATCCATCACAGAGGAGAGGACATTGTCCACCCAAGGAGAGATGGGGGGGATGCACTGACTTGCTACCCACACCCCTCAAGCATCATTTGGGTTTAACTACAGGGTGGGAGATTGACAGAGATATACCTAAAAACTGAGTTAAACCCCAGGCAACCCTCCCACCCTGTCTGGTCTGCACTATTGAAGCTGCTCTTTGGACCATGCAAGGCAAGGTGATGGAGACCACCGGTGTTAAGGAGCCCAATTAAACATCTCTCTTGCTCCCATTGAGGGTGGGCAGTGCCAACCCTCTGCCTGCCAAGGTGGAGGTTGTGGAGGTTGCCATTTATCCATCCTTGCCACTGTCAAGAAGAGGCTGCTCCCACCAGTCTTACTGAGCAGTCAGCATGGGGACCAGACACCACTATGGCAGCAGCACTCAATGACACTCAACGAGCTTTCACAGGCCCTAGAGCTGCTTTGGACACAAGCCTGGTGCCGAGTGGTGACAGTGGGCACCCACCAGCATGCGGTGGGGACCACAAAACCAGAGACAAGCAACTAAACACAAGCAGGACCAGCCCCCAGGGCAGCGGCTGGGGGAAAAACCCAAGGGGAGATGGTCACAACAAGGACACTTCCCAGTTCACACAACTACATGAAACAGGGCAGGAAGAAAAGGACTAGGAAGCAGCTAGGAAGGTTTCTCAACTTCTTTTGCTTTTACTACCTAAACTGCCTCTTACAAGCACCAGGAATATAACCAGGCTATGAGGCAGAGCAGGCTGAGCTGTTATCTAAGGAGACAGGAGGAAGGTTGGGAGAAGCCACATGCACCACAGCCATTTACCTTGGAAATATTAGTAAAGAGAAAACTTTGAGAAAGTGACAAACGGGTCTTCTTTAAGCCATGAAAAGTGAAGGGAAGAAGAAGGGAGGGGATCAGCTCGTTGTCAAAAAGTGCACTTCGGATCACAAACCAAGCAAAAGGAACAGAAGTCATCATGCTGAGTAGTCCCATGGCCCCAGATCAGCTCAATCCCCCAGCCAGGAGGACTGGGGCACACAACCATGTCCCCAGCCTTTCCAGTGTTCCCTGGTCCTCCTCGATGGGGGTCAAGACCCCAACAGTGAGGGCTGATACAACAAAGCACCCACTGCCAACCAAGTCCCATGGTACATCATGAGAAGGAGGTACCTTCCACCTCCCCTCACCCCATACATGTTGTGACGGGACACAGTGAGGGATGGTCATGTGTACAAGACAACAGCCTCCAAGAGGTATCAGCAGCGTGAATGCCACCAAGCCCTTAGCTTAGGGTGTCTTCATGAGTCCCTCAGTGGCAACCTGTGAGTCACACACTAGCACAACCATCCCTGCCTGCTCCAGCAGAGCTCTTGGTCTAGCAGACCCTGATGCGATGCAGCCATCTCCCAGAGTCAGCATTGGAGCGTGTTTTCAGTGTCCCAGCCAGCACTGAGGCATGCACTGTTATTCATTACAATATGAATGGGAAAAGGGTGGGTGGAGGGATGGATAAGGAAACAAAAATGCTTTCAAAACAACCCACAACCAGACACTTCATCACTGGCTTTTGTGCTCATGAGCAGCAAGGGAAGGAGCATAGGAATGCAGGCCATGCTGAGCAACACCACCTCTACATTTGCCCAGGATTATGAGCATGATGACCTCCCCCAACCCATCCATCAAGTGTGAGCTTCCTAACATCCTGCTTCTCAAAACTGTTTATTCCGAAAGAGAAAGAAACATGAGGTTCACCAGTCGTTATGTGTAAGCAGGGCTGAGTTCTGGGCTGGCAGTGTTGCAGCAGATCCCTCTATCTTCAGCCCACAAAATGAACCAGGACAGAGACGCCCATAGGCTGATTTGAATTGGCCTATAGAGCTCAAAAAGATCCCTGGGCACTGCCCCAGCCTCAGCTCAGCCTCAAAGTCTCCCTGGTCTTTGAGAAGACACTTGAGCACAGCTCAGTAACTTCTGCTCTCAGCCTGATCACATAGAATGAAGTCTGAAGGCTTCAAATCTGTCCCTATTACACAAAGACCTAACAGCACTAAGTCAAACTGTCAAAGCCTTAATCATTCATAATTAGCACATTAAAAGCTCAAGCCATCTTGCTTTCTTAAGAGCTAGAACACAACAATATCCCTGCATCTACTCTGTTCCCAAACTCACTGTCCCCAGACTCACTGGTCCCAAAATCCAGGCTTGCAGAACTGCAGATGCCAGGACCCAGGATCAGTTCAGCTCCAGAAAACACACTCCTATGCCAGTGATAAAACCCTGTTGGGGGCTGAGGTCAGAACCTTCTCAGACTATTCATAGGCACAACTTAGACTCAGGAGGCCTGTCCTTCCCAACAATTCCATCACCTACAGTACACCATGCTATCACACAGGAGAGAACTTAGGGAAAACCCAACAGCATCTCCCATCCTGTGACTAACCAAGGAGGTAGGGAATTTAGACATTATCAATAAAGGGCAAATGGTAATTTGCTTTATTTCTCAACAAAATTAAGACATTTAATCAAGCAAGAATACCTCGTGGTTGGACAAAGCAGCACCCATCATCTCCCTCTTTATCCTTCCTAAGATGCATACAAATCCCACACAGAGAAATACTAACTTCAAGAAGCCCATGCCTTGGCCAGGTTTCACAGCAACAACAAGCGGTGGGATGGCAAGAGACATGGAAAAAGGGGTAAAAGGGGGAATAAGATGCAAGAAGGTACTTACAGGCATGCCTTCCCTAGTAAAGGCTGCAGAGAGACAGAGAGAACAGGTGTCAGTAATGCTGCACAAGAGACCAGGCAGATGACACCAGGCGGAGCAAGGGCCATACCAACAGCAAAAGCTTCCAAACCCAAAGCTGGCAAAGGGTTTGGTGCAAGACTCAACCAGCCCAAGCAAAGCCTTAAAACCAAGAGAAAGATGGAGCTGCCCCTCTTGGTGCTTGGGGTGGGAAGGCTTATGCAAAGCGGCCACCAAGTAGAACGGTTGGAGGAACTCAGCAACCTTCCTAACCTGCCCCAGATCTAGCCAAGAGGACACCAGGCAACACAGACAATGCAAAGAGGGGCTGGGTGAGACAGTGAGATCCAACAGGCAGCTGGCAGGAAGGGCAGCATGGCAAAGAGGGTCCTATGTGTATGTGTGTGTGTCTATATATATATATATATATATATATATATATATGCTTTTCTGGTACCAACCCAGCTCCTTAATGAGCACAGGGAGGGGGGGTTGTTCCTGGAGAAGTGTGAAGCAAGCAAAGTATCATCTCTTTCTACACCCCTTCATGGGTGGGTGAAAGAGGAAAGGACACACGAGCATCATAGTAGCTAGCCATGGGGTTTCACCCAAGGCTGCAGAAGGCAACCAAGTTCAATATGCCAAGAGGCTCCTATTCATTTCTGGTCCATTTTGCCCGTCATTCCAGAAAGGAAGAGACCTCTTCAGGCAACGATGACTTTTGTCAGCTCCTTCTTGAGAGAAGCACGAGAAGATCTGCTTTATTGCAATGCCCAGGTCTACAGCAAAGCCAAGTGCATCCAGGGGGAAGGCACGAGCCCCACTCTGGAGATACAGCTCCTCAGGAGGTCGACACCACAAATGTCAGATAACAAAGGCACCAAATTAACACAGCCTGGACCTTTAGAGGTGGTTTATGACACTCTCAAAACTCAAGAGAATCAACAGTGACCGAATGCTCCTGCACCAACACAAGGCAGGGAGGGACAGCAGCCATGGGAGAAAGATGCATCAGCACAGGTTGCGACAAGTGCAAGCCGGTCCCCAGCTTCAGGAGCGACAGGAGGACAACAAACAACAAAACAACGAGAATAGCAACAAAACAAAGCAAACCAAAAGAGTTCAACTAACTTGTCCCGGCAGCTGCGAGGGCACTTCCTGAGGAACACAGCCTGGCAGGGCGGAAGAAACAGCCACATGCTCCTCAAAGCTGTTGATGCGAGGTTTTTTGGTGGGCTCTGGGCTTGCTAGAGGGGTAACGCTATTACGTCTCATGAGCGGGTTAGGTCCCTTCTTTCCTTCCTAAATTAAAGTGAGACAAAGAAAATGAAAGTAAATAAAAATAAAATAAAAAGGTAAGAAGGCGACAGTTATAAAGGAAAAAAAAAATAAAATAAAGCAGGTTGGTTTTTGTGTTTGTTTAAAGCAGCCTCTGCTTTTCCCAACAAATCACTGTCAATGTATACAGGATGCAGCGAAAGGCTGTGGACACAAGGTGTTCAAGAACGCAGCATGATTGCCCAAGAAAGGAGGGAAAAATAAATAAGTGAGAGGCCCTGAACTGAGAAATGAGACAGGCTTTCTCCTCAAAAAAAAGTAAATACAGACTGCCAAAAAAGCATGACTTAGCATGACAGAGAGGTGCCCATCTGTCTCCTCCTCAAAGCTCATCCCTCCTACCCAGGGAGAGGTGTGAAAGCAAGAAGAGGCAGGACAAGCCAGCCTGGGCTGATAAGGAAGATTGGAAAGTGAGGGCAGAGCAGGCAGCAATGGTCAGCACCACGCCAAGCTCCAATTCAACAAGCAAGGTGGAATGGAGGTGCAGCCGAGCAGTGGGGGTCAAGCGCTTCACGTGTGTCTCACTCCATCCTACCCACATCCTTCCTGCCATCCCCAACAAGGGTGGTGGAGTACATCAATGGCCCCCATGGCAGGGGAAGGACTGGCTTCCCCACCTATGGTGCCTGCCAAGGTTGGGAAGCGAAGGAAAGGAGATGTGTGCCAAAAGGGGACGGCTCCAACCGCCCAACATCCAGTTGGGCTCCACCATCACTAAGCGCAAGTTGGAAAGGTCCCAGCAGCTGGGACATGGGCATTACCATGGTCCATGGGGTCCCTTTTGGATTATTGCCCTGTCCTAACACTGAGCTTGCATCCCCCTGCTCTGGCCTTCGAGCTCCTGGTGGAGCACATGGCAGATGGACCTGACCTTATAGGAGTTTTGCTACACATAAAGGGTTTCCTCTCTTTATACCATCACCAGCTCAGCAGCACCACCCTGTACTCTACAGAATCCCATAGAGCTGTGGGCATGCCAGTTAAAAAACCATTGAAGGCAGGAAATACTGGGCAAAGTGTTGAGCCCAAGCTCTGCCAGCCATCTGGGAGACCTGGGAGAAGTCACCTTCTCCATCCATGGTTCCATTCCCTGCTCAGGTGAGTGGATGACTGCACAGGTGAAAGTGAAAGACCAGGGAGGAGCTTTCCCTGGGCCAGCTTTAATCTGAGCAAACACACTGGGAAGCAGACACATGCAATAGTCATTTTCCCTTGGAAAACCCTCAACAGGCCACATCTTTGCAAAACAAGAACGCATCTGATGCTCTGGTCCTAGAGCAGCACTCCCGAGTACCCAGCTGAGCAACCTCCCCATGCCCACCCTGGGCATCTTTGTTGCTCACTGTAGGGGAAAGGAGAGGGACATCAAGGGATGGCTCTGAAGAAAAGCCACACTCACCTCTGGCCGATCCCTGTGGGTGTTGACAGCTTCAATGTTGAGTGAGATGGATTCCACTCGGCAGCCTGCAGAAAGGAGCACAAGGAAACAGAGAGGCCATCAGCAAACCCACCAGGCACAGGATGTCTCCATCCCAGACTCCATCTATTCTCCCAGAGGTAGCTTGAATTCAGGAAGAGGGACAAGTCAAACCCCTTGGCATGTTAATAAATCCCCCCTTACCATAGGCCACTGGGGTCAGCTTCAACACTGTGTGAAGGGGACATTTCAGGTAGGGCATTTCATCTGCAGAGAAAGCAAAGCAGGAAGATTATCCCATCCCCTCTCCAAAAGCAGGTTTAGACTTCATCAATAGCTAAGGCCACCCAAAACCAAGAGATGCATACTTCACGCCCTTAGCAGACCTGAACGCATCTCTTATCTCCTAAGAACCCCATCTATCATCCCTCTTCCAGAAGGACCAATCCTCTTCCCAAGGACAGGAACTTCACCTGCACTCTTATCAAGGAAGTATGCCAGGAGACAGCGCATGACAGCCTGGTGACAGATCACAAGGACGTTCTCTTGTCTCTCCAGCTCCATGATGACCGGCTCTAGACGCTGCACCAGATCTTGGTAGGACTGAGGCAGAAGAAAAGAAGGGAGATATGGCATAGAATCAATGGTCCTTGCCTTGGTACACCTATTGACTTCATGCCTCTGACCAAACCAGCACAATTACTGCTAAAAACAAGCAAAGTGACACAAATCCTCTTCCTCAGGCTGCTCTGGAACATGACTACTGCTTTGGGTCGAAGGAGAAAGCCACTCACATCTTACTAAACTCTCTAGGACTGTAACTGAGGTAAGCACAGGGGCTTTGAGCAGTGTCTATCATCTTGAAAACTTGTTTTCTACAGGATTTTTAAGTTCTGAAGTCCAAAGCAACATTAAAAACAAAAAAAAACAGGGGTTTGAGGGACTTCATGAAGAACCTGAAAGGCAGCCAGAAGGGACCACAGACACCTAAACAGTTTCCTTTTAGACAGGCTGTCATGATATCTCCAAAGATCTTTCCCAAATGCCTCTGGGGGCGACCCTTAATAGGGGGATAAAAAGCCCCATTCACAACCTAGTATCATTCAGCCTGCCAATTCCCACCTCATTGTGTCACACCCTGAAAGCAGATTGCCAGGAAAGAGAGGTATCAGCATCAACCCTTAGGGAATGATACTGAGAGCAGAGGTAGAAATTGCTTCTTTGGAAATGAAAAAGGAAACCGGGGCAGTGCAACACTTTGAGTGGATATAATGGAGGAAGTTGGACTTGGAAACCTCCAGTCTCCTTCCACTACTAAACTCATAGGGGTTACTTGTTAAGTGATACATGTCTCAATGAGATGTTCACATACCATGATTTCACAAGAGTCCAATGCAAAAGGTGCCCTGACCTTTCTTGACTCTACTTTCTTGGAACACTTCTTGCTCCCCTGCTCTGAATGTAGAGGACAGCATGAGGATGAGAAGGCCAGGTTTAAAGTAAGATAAGGAGTCATATCTCTGAAGGCCTCCTTGCAGACCTACCTCCCCAGAAGGATAGCGGTAGTAATATTTATCCTGATCACGTAAAGCGAATTCCTCTGGATGCTGCTCCCTGATTTCTTCATACGTCATTTCTTCACACACCCCCTGCCAGAACAGGACATCCATGAGGTTAAAGGACATGCTCAAGTTAAAAAACATCAGCACACCCAACATGCAAAACCTTCTCCAAAGCAACATCTACAGCCCTCTGAGTAGTCAGGTACAGAGCAGTTCCAAGCAAAAACCATTCTAATCTGCTCATTCAAGCTAATCTTGAAGCATCTACACAAAGTAGATGCCAAGATAAGAAGACATGTTTCAAGTACTGCAGCAGAAGTAACACCCTTTCCAACAGAAAGGAAAAATCTCTCCACAAAAAAAGCAAGATTTAGGCTGTGAAAGTGAAAAGGCTGATGCTACCGCTCTCTGCCAAGCAGCAACCAGCATGATCCTAATGCAAAGATACTTACAGCATCAATTTCATTGAGTGCCTTCCACTGCTCATAGGGCAATTGAAGAGCTTCTGCTGTTTGGATTGTCCTCTTTAGCTGGCTGGTCCAGACTTTGAGGTCCTTCAGGTTCTGCTCCTCAACAAACTTGTTCAGTGCCCGGGCAAACTGTGGGACATAAAACAAGAGGTTGATTCCTGATCCACAGCCTCCCAACAGGGCACCTTAGATGCCTGGCTACCCTTTACTACAGCCCTGCTTATTTGTCATTGAGCTAAATTGGTATCTCCCTATACAGTCACACCTCAAAGGACTCCATTTGGGCTTCAAAATGGTCTGGCAAGCCAAGGTAGCTATTAACTACCCTTGAAGCACTTGACCATGCCATTGAAGAATCAAGTAGTGAGCAATCTGAAAGCATCCTCGGAGCTGGCTATCCCTACCCAAAGGGTGGCAGCAGTCCTTCTGCATCCTGCCCTGACTGGGCAAGGTCTGAAGAAGCTCAATTAAGACACTCATACCCTTTTCTCCTAGGGATTTCTGTAGCCTCTGTTAGCCCCTAACTACATGCAACATTGGTGGCTGGAATGTCTTGTTTTGAGGTTGTGCCTGAACCTGAATATAACCAGCTCTATAGATAGATCACTTAACCCAATGCGCAGCATCAACAGCCAAATCACTCCTAGAAGCCACAGAGCAATATTCCCTTCTCTCTCACCTTCTTGCCCCTGTTGGAGAGGCCTGAGTCACCTCCAATCTTCCCCTTGAGGTTGAACTCGCTTTCACCATGCCGACAGAGATAAATGGTGCGAGGCTGGACATGGATGTTCATCAGGTAGTAAACGATCCTGCTCTGGATGTGATCCTGAACTCTGTTAACCAGGAACCGCCGGCCAACATCGATGACTTTGATGAGAGAAAGCTCCCTAGGGAAAGAAAGCAGTGAGGATGAGCAGATGCCAGTAAGGAAAACAGGAAGAAAGAAGCACCGTCTTGGATGAACAGCCTTTTGAGGTACCTCAGTCAACAATCACTCGGCTAAAAGGATTTCCTGCAGCGTATTTTCAACTGGAAGCCAACAAGCAACAGCCATTCATGGAGAGCTAAGTAACACTGGTATAATCACCATTCCTCCCTTGCAGCAGTAAAGAGGATTAAACACGAACAGCAGGAAGCACGTTCCTCCCCAGAGCAGGGCTCAGCAGAACTGGGGTAATCCACTCAGGGCACACAGATGTATTTGTGAGCAGTGGAAAAGTGCCTGCATGGTCATGCAGGACAGCAAAGGTCCTCCCAGGGCACACAACTAGGCGGAAACCACAGGGCTTGCTCAATCCTGTGGTTTGAGCCTGCCCAAGCAGTCCTTCCTTTAAGGTGGACAGTGACAAAAGCACCTCACAAACGCTCAAACCCAAATGTTTTCCCAAAGCCTTTGTATTTAGACTGGTAGAACAAGATTGAAAACAGCACCTTTGAGCCCAGAAGAGCCACAGAAAGTTTCAGCACCCAACGCCCCAGCACAGGGCTGGGAAAAAACAGCATTTTCAATGAAGAATCTTGAATTCATAGTGATATATTGGCCATATATTATTCTGGTGCAGCCATGTATTTGAAGACAGAGTGAAATACATTGAATACAAAGTGAAATACAGCTCCATAATTCATTAGTCCTCTCCTAGGAGAACAAAGGCATTCAAGCCCTTTCAGAATTCAAAATCTCTTACCGGTCATAGTCATCAGGGTCGAGTGGCTGGTAGCTGGCCTGGTAACAGTTGATCCTCTTCATGAAGTCCTCCATGGCATCAGTTGAATTACAGTCACGATAATCAGGGCTGGACAATTTTACTTCCTGCAGTAAGGGAAAAAACATGCCACAAGGAGAGGTTAGGAAACTTTCCAAGTCAGACCATGCTAATCTCCAATTTCAAAGTCCTGCCAAGATCCAGCTATCAGCTGAGCCACTTTACAGTCACTGCTTATCATAAGAGAGAAAAGAAGCAGACTAGACCCAAAACTCTAAGCACACATTGAGAAAGTCTGGTATAAACCATTGTATGACCAGTAGAGATGCATATCAGTCCATTCATGTTCTCCCCAAGAACTGGGGTAGGACCTCACCATCCAACACAGCGGGAAAACTGAGCTTTCTTATGGCTAAAGGAAAGCATCAGGTTTAAACAGTTGAAGCTGAGAATTAAAAGTGCGTGTGTTTAGACAAGATGCTTATCCTGTGCCTTTTGAGTGAATAAAGCTCCCAGGAGTGAGAGGTTAACCTGGGCGTCCACCACCTGAGGCAGCAACATAACATTCAAGCCTTTCCTGTGCATTATTTGCTAGAAAGAGGCTGGAAACTGACAACGTGAATGAATATTCAGAACTCTCATGGACTAAGTTATGGCTGAAACACTCTTAACAGGTTATTCTTCCTGAAGATTTAGGTTTGAGCAGCAGCATTACACATTAGTAACTTCATAAGCAATTCTGAAGCTAACAGGGTAACGCAACCAAGTGACACACAATGGTGATACCGTATTTTCCACACCAATCTCAGCACTAAGAGCATCATGGGACACCAGCTCCAAGCAAGACCAAAAGCCATCCTCCAGCCCTAACCCAGCACCCTTTGTGGAGCCCATCCCAGGGGCAGGACAATACTCTTCTCACATACTTTCAGTATTTTGCGATGCATTCCCAGACACTACAAAGTTCAGATGTGCAACTGGAGATAAGGCTGGAGCACAGCCCAGTGGAGAAAAGGATGCTTTCATAAAAGTTAATCATGCCTAGGTAGACCAATTAAAGTCTACCTGCCCTAGCCAAGTCTAGCAGGCAAAGGAGGTCTGCTGGTGGGAAATCAAAGATCCAGCAGCTCCTAAAGGAGCCAGGAAGCAATGCTTTACACTGTAGTCTCCAAAATTTTAGGCAAGGTGATCTGATATTCTTCTCAAAGCAGACTCCAACAGATTTTGGGAAGCTGCATATAGGTGAAGACACCAAATCTGACAGCTCTTCAATGGGATTTAAACCCCTAACCACATTAGGGAGGCACCAGCATAGGGTTGGCTTTCCAGGCTGCAAGTGCACACTACTGGGTCATGTTGAGCTTCTCATCAGCCAACACGTCCAAGTCCTTCTCCTCAGGGCTGCTCTAAATCCAGACTATGTCCAGCCCGTGTTTGTGTTTGGGATTGCCTCAACCCAGGGGCAGGACCTTCCACTTGGCATTGTTGAACTTTGCACAGCCTCCCTTACACACAGCTTGTCCAGGTCCCCTGGGATCCCATCCCTTCCCTTTAGCATGTCAACCACACCACACAGCTTGGTGGTGTTAGCAAACTTTCTGAGGGCGCACTCAATCCCAAGGAACAACTTGTTTATCCATGCACACCTCCTGATATTTTTGCCTGACATCCTCTTTGTTGGGATGCATCGCTCCTGAGCTTTGAAGAGGTGATCCTTGAAAGCCTGCTCCTCCTCAGCTCCTGGGTAATGAGTTCTCTGCATTTCCTTTTAACCACTCTAAGGATCTTGTACTCCACCACTTCACAGTCACTGCAGCCAAGGCTGCACATTCCCCACCAGTCAGCTACTCCTTGTTGGTAACAAGGTCCAGCATAGCACATCTCCTTGTTGGCTCCTCTGTCACTTAAGAAAGGAATTTATCCTCAGCACATACCAGGAACCACCTGGAATGCTTGTGTCCTGCTGTGTTGTCCCTCCAACAGATATTGGGTAAATGAAGTCCCCCATGAGGAACAGGGATTGCAAATGTGAGGTTGCTCTTATATATATATAGAGAGAGAGAGAACAAAAGGAAGACACTTCCACACTTACCCTAACATTGCTGGCAACTACAGTGGGATCGTTGCAGACAGATTCAATGAAGAACACCTGCAAAGCAAAGCAAAGCTCAACTGAAAGCCAGCAATAACGTTTGTAACATTCAGCTAGCTCCTTGCTCAACCCAAACTCCCCCGTTTGACCAAAGGGCTCTCCCTCTGCCCCTTTCCCATCCTTTTCTTCGTAGAGCTCAGTAATGGGAATGAAGGAAGAGTTTAATATTTGCAATCAAACCCAGCAATGAAATCTCCCTTATACAGGAGCATTGTGAGCACAATACATTAGCAAAAGAAGATACCCCACCCATACACTAACATGGACCATGCAACACAAGCAGCAGCCTGGTGGTACCAACCTTGAACCCATTTTCTTTGGCAAAGTTTAGGATCATCCCTCTCCTCTCCCGCGTGGTATTGGTGGCATCAAAAACCTTTAAAAGCAAAGATTTGATTAGCACCAAGGGTGCCCCGTTCCCCGTCGAGTCCTCCCTGAGTGCACAGCACCTTCAGGACCAGGACTGCTGTCAAACGCCACGGAGCGCATCTGAGCTTACCGCGATCTGGCCAGCCTCCTCCGTTAGGTACAGCTTGACATCCCTCAAAGCAGCCAGGGCACATTGCCTGCAGAAGAGGAGACACATGATCCTGATGTTCTCGGAGGTGCTTGTGGCAGCCAGTTGCATAGACTTCCACAAAGGAGGGCAGGCTTTGCAGCTCCTCCTCCTCACCTCCCCATCCCCAGGGACATTTAGGAAAGACACACTCTGCTAAAAATCCCTACAAGAGATGTGTGCTGAGCAGTGTGCTGGTCTTCATAGCAGAGGCAATGGTAGATGAAGCAGCAGAGGCCAAACCTCATATCCTACACCACTGAGCCTGAAGGTGGATTTAGGGTACCACTGATGGAGGATGCACTGGTGAGCCTGAAGCTACCAAGCCCACACAGCTTCAGTTTTCAGCTCCTGGCACCCAAGTCAGGCCTCCTTGGGCAGACAGGAAAAACTGAAGCTAAAGCCCAGCCTTTCTCTTTACCTCTCATCCAAACAAGCCAGGTAACCATAGGCTTCACCACCCATTTAGGACCCAAGTACAAGCATGCACGCAGTGCCCACACTTACCTCCTGACTTTCATGGCCTCCTCATTGTCAGGGCGGAAGAAGTCATAGGAGCTGTAATGCTTCACTGCCTCACGGCGATATTCCCCCACATTGAAAACTGTGTGGAAAAGGCAAAAAAACATCAATACCAGGAGCAGTCAATCAGCATAGCTTCACTCAGCTGCGCAGTTCCTGCGGACAACACTTTCTAGTGATGGGCATCCTTAGATCCCGCTTAAGAAGTGGGATCCTTACAGCAAAAAGCTGAGGGACATCCCTTGGTCTTCAAATTGAAGGAGAACCTGACTGGGATGGGAGGACATGGATATTGGGCTCATGGGATCTTAGAAAGAGCTCTTACTACCTCACACTCTTGAAGGCACTGAGCTCCTAGAGCAACTCCTGAGGGCCGGAGCTCATGCTTTCCCCAGGCAGCCAGTGCAAGCCTCACCTTTTGTTGGAACACCAATCCAGTTGAGGTAGCGAGTCAGCTTCTTGGAGATGTAGGTCTTCCCGCGGGCTGGCAAGCCAACCATCACTATCACAGTGGGGGAATTGGCAAGCTGTGGCCCACAGGCTATGAAGAAGAGAGAAAGAGCAACATGAGCATCCATTAATCCTCCAGCTCACCTTATATCAAGCCTACAAGGCACTTGGCTCCTGACCCAGCCTTCCCCCAAGACCTTCAGCAGCTATAGAAAATCCAAAGCCTCTGCTCCCCATGCACATCGTCTCTGCAGTATATCCTGTGCATCCCTCTCACACATCTGGACAATCAAAACCTTGAGGAGGTGAATCCATTGACTCATTTCTGCAACAGGATCTGCTGAATGAGCGTATGTCAGGGCATGGCACACTGCTTCACAGCTGCCCACCAGTGAGACACAACTAAGCCATGCTAACCCAGATTCACCCTGGTGGCATGCAACGAAAGCGACAGGAGTCACATCCTGACAACCACAGCAAGGAGAACATCCTGATAGCTGCAAAGTGGGAAAGGAACCAGCAACAGCCCTAAACTCCCCGCAGAACCTCTGTGCCTCAGTTTCCTCATTTGCAAAACCAAAGCAAACCTCCCATACCCCTGGTTTGGCTAATTCTGTAAAAAGCTAAAGGATGGCCCAAGGACTTTGGCCAAGTCTCTGTAGCAGCACACTTCAGACACAGCTGCCATGCTGAAATGCCAGGTCTGCACCAAGATCTTCACCCAGAAAGCATCTCCCAGAAACTTTTGCTAGCTCTTTAGCTGATACACACACAAATGCAACCAACTGTTGTTTCTGAAGAAGAGCAGGGCATGACTACAAAACCACCAGCACTTAAAAGTATCCCTTTTTCCTTTTATCACCTTTTCCTCATAAGCCCATTTTAAGATAGCGGGGGTTTTGTTCTTATTATAAAGAGAGTCCATGTCAAACAGCTGGAAATAAATCCAGAAGCATCACCTAGTGATGACTTGGCAAGTGAAAAGAAGCTCCTCTCCAATTCACCTGAATGGCATGACCAACACGCAGACAGATCAGCTGCCAGGATGCCCAGGTAAACTGCTTCTCCCTCTCTAAATCCTTTAAGAAATAAGTTCCTGGTTCACTTTAGAGATATTTGCTGAGGTTACAGGACTAGGAACGCAGCTCGGGAATTTATTTTAGCCCCCCACAGCCAGCTCTCAGAGCCATGGGATGTATCAGGACCACACACCCCATGGACCACGGAAACACGTGGCAGCATCTCTGCTCCTCTCCAGGGTTTGCCCTGCAGAACTGCTTCTCACATGGTGCTGCACGCAGGAAAGGCCAAGGCACAAAGCCAAGTACTTTAAATAGGGGGAAAGGAAGATCTCAACGATGCCTAATGGAATTTGGATTAGCCAGCCGCCTTTCATGGCGAGTGACACGCCAAGAGCCCTCCCAGCAAAGGCGGGATAGACGAGACCCTCAGGGGATTTCTCAGCCACCCTTCAATCCACCCGGTGAGCCTGGAGACCTCATGGGAAAGGAATGCAGGGAGTGAGTGGCTGGTGGCAGAGCCATAAAATGCAGCTTAATTACGGTCTGGGTAGAGCGCTCTGCCTGCCTTGTCCCAGCTTCCCGCAGGTGAGACCAGGAGAGTGACAGTGATTTGGGGATGCAAGGGTTTCCCCATGGGTAGAGATGGGGTATGTTATTCTCAGTGTAGACCTGGGAAGGGCAAACAAATTAAGAGGTATCCAGAGTATGCAAAACACGTGGAATTTCCCTCCTCTTCCAAGAAAAAAAATAATCCAAGAGCTAAAGAAACCAAGCTCATAGGTTTGGCACTGGTACTCAGCAGGGCAGAGCAGAGCCACCCATCATTAGGTCACCAAAGCACATACAGAAAGAGATGAGAAAACTATCTAATAAGATATTTTCTTTATTCCCCCCCCCCCCCCAAATATTCCACATTCCTCAGGTTGGCTCTGCCCTCACATCCGCTCCCTCTGTGGGACCTGCCTCCCCACCCAATGCCACACTTCAAAAGCCCAAACCAGCTCCTACTGCTTCCAGCAGCAAGCAGTGATCTCTCTTGGTACTGAGGTATCAAGGGATGGATCTAGATCCCACACCACATGGGCCATGTAGCATGTATCCAAATACATGTGCAGTGTACCCAGAAAAATACTGTTTTCCTCTCTAACAGCCTCACATCTTCAATCAACCTGGGGATACGAGTCCGCATGACAAAACAGCCACTTATTAGATAAAGGGAGGGGGAAGGAATAATACCTGAATAGACACTCCTCCTTTCCCTACCTGCCCACAGACAAAGGATCTCAAGGAACGGAGCCAAGAGGATTTGGGGCCATTAAAATAACAGCATTGCAGGACAATAGGGATATTGGCAGGTACTGTTCGTGTCCCTTTATCTCCAGACAGCTGTGCACACATCCCATCTCCAAAGGGTTAAACACCTGTGTTTGAGGAATCTCCCCTTCAATTCGGTTTGCTAGGACTGTGCAACAGCATCTGTTTACAGACCCGGGAAGCACCTCCCAAAACACCAGGGCATGGAGCAGCTACTTTTTATGGGAATATGAGCCTAAACCCAGTTAAATCACAAAAGCCTCCAGGAAACTTTGCATCAGGGATGAAACAGAAACCAGTGTTTTGCTCTCAGCGCTTCACAAAGACCTAATTCATCATTTCTTTTCACCACTGGTGAAAAGCTATCAGGGATTTCAGTGCGCATTCATTACTCGTTATCGACATCTAGCCAGGTAAGTCAAGGTCAGCGATGGCTTTTGAAAGGCTCAAGGAGGATTTTTAGAAGTAGCTCAGACACTTGTGCCTTTTATCGGCTACAAAATCAGCTCTGATGCGCGTCACGGGGGTGAATGCAAAACAGAAAAGGGAAGGAAATTCTCTTCTACAAAAGGCTGGATAAAACAGCCACCTCCTTACTCCAGATATTTTCACTGTCTCCTTCTAAGAAGAGCTCCCCGCACCTCCCGCTCCCACAAGCGCACACCACATCCTCTTACATCCCCCCCTTTTCCACCTTCTTCCCATTGCAATTCTCGGACCCCTTCGCGGACGCACAGCGAGCCCGTTTCTGCGCTCCCATCACAAACACGCGTGTGTTAATCGGTACCAGACCTTGGAGCTGTGGCTTTGCTGATGTATTTTCTCCCACCCTCATGGAGCTGGAGCGATGGGAAGGAAAAAGGCTCCGGGAGCCCCTTTCCTGCTCGGCATCCCCCATCCTGAGCCCCCTCCCCTCCCCTGGACCTGCCCATCCAGCCGCTTGCGACGACTTGACTTTCCCAGCCCCTACGTGAGAGACGTGCAGCTTGACAGCAATTTAATGGATCGCCGTCAAAAGGCCACATGAAGGCATCGCTTCCCATCCATTCCAACCTCCCGTTGATGAGGAAGCGCACAATCGGACTGATTATTCCCCACTCAGGGAGCAGCCAAGCGGGAGCTAGCTGAGGATGCTCACAGGGATGCTCCCACTCCTTCCTCCTCCACCCCACCCGGCCGACCACGCTGACCTCGCATCTCCGTTATAGCTCCCATTCCCACCCGGCTTTGTAAGGAATTAACAGCACCTCGAGTTTAAAATAGCTACTTCGAGTCCAAAAATAACCACTCTAAAAAAGCCCACAACGCTCCCATTGAACAGTGCCCGGCATGGCTTGCTCCCACCCCGAGAAAGTATAAGGCACATTGTAGCGCTAATAAACCCCTTGATGCCTTAATATATTAAAGCATTAGTTTTCCCCTCCGCCATGAGGGAATTCTCTCGGAGCTCCGAGAAACCAGATGAATAAAGTGGAAAAAAACCCAATAAAGCTCTGCATATAGAAAGGATTCCTTTTAGAGGTGTCACTCCTCGGGAAAAATCAAACCAACCCTCTCCATCTGCAAAGCATTAAGCCAGGAGACATTTCCCCTCGCTAAAACCAAAGCCCCGTTGGCAATCCACATGGTTCAGCCTGTTGCTGAACGCAGCTCCCTCAGCATGTGCGGGCATCGCTGCGTGCCCGACCTACAGCCACGGGGATATTTCGTTTTAATTATTATTACATCTTAAAAAGGGGGAACCGGGAACTTTTGGGCCAAGGGAAATAAACGGCTGGAGCGGCTTTGTTTCAAACGCCTGCCTCAGGAAAAAAAGCATCGGAAAGACTGATTCACCCAACCGCCCGAGCCACTTCCATGCTTCGCCAGGCTGCAAAGTGCCACCTTCTCCGTCCTGGCTCCCGCAGCTCTGAGGATTCCTGTTTGCAGTTGCGTAACTGGCAGGCTGTCAGTTTGGCTGCTGGGCGAGTTAAAAGAGCTGTCTCCTCAGCTTTAGCACTGGATTATGATTCATGACTTGGTTTCTAGTAACACCGGGATGCCGAAGCATTGATTACTATTTACTATTATTTTAAGCGCAAAGGTTGGTTTGAATCACTCCAGGTGCATCCCAAGCTTTGATAAGATGGGAAATCACTGCACAGGTTCCAGCATTTTTAGCCCTCCTCTCCACCTGCCTTCTATCTCATCCTAAACCTCCTATCGCATTCCCTCATTGCCATGGCAGGGAGGGTGGAACTAAATGATGTTTGAGGCTTACAACTCAAACCATTCCACGATTCTATGATTCTAAGTCTCCCCGCCTCATCCCAAACACAGCACAGGGTAAAGTGGTGAAGCGAAGCAACTGCTGGGCTTTTTCTTCCCCTCAATTCATTGACATGATGCTGCTTTCCCCCTTAAATTAATAAATCACATAGCAAGAAGTCAGACACCGGGAATCCCAGCAGAGGTGGTATCCTGGTGGTCCATCCTCCCAGGGATTGAAAGGAGGGGGGGTGGTGGTGGACGTGGGACACGGAGAGGGGATGAAATTGGGACACGCGTGTCTCAACGCCTCCCGCTCCAGGGGAAGCAGCGGCGCGATCCCTGCACCTTCCTCCATCTCCTCGTGCTGGAAGTGAGTCACGGGCTGGCAGCGGGCGGGATGCGGACACGGGGATGATGCTGGAGGAGGTGGAGGGGATATTTTGGGAAAATGAAAAAGGGGGCCTTGCGTCGAGGCCTCCCGGGGGGCTGCTCCCAACATACCCCCCGTATCCCTCCATCCCTCAGTGCCGTACTCACAGCGGCGGGGCAGCGCCGGGCGGTTGTCATTGGGGAGCCAAATCTTCTGGATGCGGCTTTGAGTCAGCTCCATGGGCATGGTTAACACGGAGGCAGCGGGCGCTCCGCGTGGTGCGAGGGCGGGAAGGGTCAAAAACACGCAGGGAAAGCAAAAACGAAAGGGTTTTTGCTGCGGGGAGGGTTGGACCAGCCGCTGCTGCGCTCTCGGATGCTCCTCGGAGTCGCGTTAAGGCTGCACGGCGGAGGAGGAGGAGGGGAAGAAAGAGGAGGAGGAGGAAGAGGAGGGACGGGGCTTCAGCGCACAAAGCCGGCAGGAACGGTGCGCGCACCGCGGGGGGAGCGAGGGCGAGTCCGGCCGGTGCTCGTGGTCTGGATGCGAAAAAAAAAAAATAAATTAAAAATGCTAAAAAAAAAACTAATTCCCCTTTTTATATTTTGTAAAAAAAAAAAAATCAAAATAAATTTAAAAGGGGGAAAAAGAAAAATCTCAGCGTGAGCAGACAGGGGAGGGCTGGGACGCGGCTCCTGCTGCTGCTCCCGCTTCCCGGCTCCACTCACGATGGAGCGGCGGCAGCGGCGGCTGCTATTTGTATCCCGGCAGGCCGGGCAGCCGCTCCCGCCCTTCGGGGCGGAGGGAGGAGGAGGAGGAGGAGGAGGAGGAAGGGAAAGGGGGGGGCCTCGGCCGGGCTGGTTCCGTCCCGCGCTGCCGCCTGCCGCCGGCCCCCCGCACTGCAGCGGGGACAAAGGAGGCGCCGGGAGGCTTTGTGATTACGGGGAGGGCAGGATACAGGGACAGGGGGAGCGGTGCTGGAAGGGATGGAGATGGGTGAAGGATGGTGGAAATAAAGGGGGGAGGTTAAAATCGGTGTGATGGAGTGATGGGAGGGAACTGAAATGGGAAGGATGGAACTGAATGGGGAAGGAAAAGCAATGGAAATTAGAAAAAATAAGGGAAAAGGAAAAGGAAAAAAGTATAGGAAAAATGCAATAAAAACAAAAGGCACAATAAAATCAATAATAAAACAAAAATATGATAAAAATAAAGCAAAAGGTAAAATTAAATAACATAGAATGAAACAAAAATTAAAATAAAGGTTAAAATTAAATAGATAAAAACAATGAAAATTAAATAAGGAAAAAATAAAAAGCTAAAATCAAATAAGTAATATATAATAAAAAATAAAAGAAAAAATAAAGGTAAAATTAAATAATAACGAAACACAAAATAAAAATAAAGGTAAAAGTAACAATAAATTAAGAAAAAAAAATAAGCGATTAAAATAGAAACAAGAAGAACGCAAACCCAGGGGTTAAATCACATCAACTCAACGGAGGGACCGCAAACCGAAACCACCCCGAGCGGCACCATCGCCCCGGTGGATGCTGCGGTCCCCCCCGCCCCGCAGCCGCCTGCTGTCCGCACGTCGCTCACGTCGCGGGGGCCGGGAACGTTCCACAGGCTCCGCCCCCTGCTCGCCTGGCCCCGCCCCCCGGGCGGGTCAATGAGCGGGGTCTCCTTAACCGTGTTGCTATTGGGTTTATTGCCTTATTAATTACGTTGTGTTATTCTAGTATGATATTTATTATTATCGTTATTATATTTAAATACATCTTGTTACCGTGACAATTGTTATTTTAATTATTTTTTATTTCTATTACATTATCTGCTATTATTTCAATATTTATGACTCTCATAATTTTATTACTTGTCTCATTTTTATTATTTTATTGGCTACTACCCATAGGATTTCACTACATTTAATTATTTTGCTATTTAATGCTTTTATTACTTTATTACTTGTCTTTTAACAGTGTTATTATTTTACTATTTACTATTTCTAGTATTTAATCACTTGTATTTTATTAAATTAATTGTTCTCATTACTTATATTTTATTATTACCTTATTTGTTATTTTTATTATTTATTATTCTTTTACTATGTTTTCCTATTATATTATTTATTGCTTTTATCACTTTATTACTTCTAAAATTATGCATAACAATAAAATACACGTTATTCTGATATTTACTATTTATTTTTTATTTTAATCTTATGTATATATTAGTAATTATAATTTTTATTAAGTTCTTACCCATATTTTATTATTTTGTTACTTATTCCTTTTACTATTCCCTTCTTTATTACTTTTATTCTTCTTTCGATTATTTTAATGATTTTCATCACTTTATTAGCCTAATTATTATTGTTCCCATGGCCACGTTGCCCCCAGTCATGTTCCCCACTTAAACCAGGCTGCCTCTGTCAGCCCGGCAGTAACACCACCTGAAGCAGCAGTGTTAATAAAGCAAAGCCTGCCTGTGAGTTTAAATCTTGATGAGTAACATCTCAGCTACTTGAAGTCTCCTGTTGTTGCCTTTTTTCATTATATAGGGCTTATATTTTTATACCAGATGTAGAAAGAACATATTTTTGGCCTTCTCCTTACATGGAGCCAAGAGGGATGGAGTAAAACAAATGCACAATCCTTCCCTCTCCTACGCAGGGAAAGAGTATTCACAGGCAGAAAGAGAATAATGAATTAACTGCTATGAGGGAGACAGAGATTTGGGATGGAGGCAGGAAGATGGGGATCAGCAGCGATGCTCTGGCTGGCACAGGTGGGGATGAGGGGTCACAAAGAGGTGCTTCCTGGACAAAATCCATCCTTGGGAATCATAGACTGGTTTGGGTTGGAAGGGACCTTAAAGCTCATCTATTTCCAGCCCGCTTCCATGGGCAGGGACACCTTCCACTAGACCAGGTTGCTCCAAGGCCTGTCCAACCTGGCCTGGGAAAGGACAGGGTTTGTTATTGCAAAATCCCATACATTTTATCCATGGAGGGCAACAAAAAACCAGTCCCAGCTAAAACATGAGCAGAAGGAATAAACCCAATGCGATGCTGTAGAGGTTGGGCATCCTCCTTCCTCCTGCAGGATTTCACTGTGGAAACCACAACCCCCAAAACATGGAAAGGAGCCCGAAAGCAAAACCCTGCCTGAATGAAGATCACCATCACTTCAGATTAGATCCACCTCGTAATTCTTGGCTTAAAAACTCCCAGATAACTGGAGCGGAAAGCTTTGACTCCAAAATACATGGCCTGGTTTTCAAAGGCATGAACACCCAGCTGCTCCAAGCGAGGTCAGCTGGAAGGAGCATCCTTACTATTTATAAGTGATGATGAAAGGGGTGGTGAGCACGGCAGCACTAGGTAAGACATGGAGTGAGGGTTACCTACCCCATCACAGGAACATGCAGGGATTTAATACATGCAAAGGGATGAAGGTAGAAATGTAATCATAGAACCCCAGACTGGTTTGTGTTGGAAGGGACCTTAAAGCTCCTCCGGCTCCAACCTCTGCCACGGGCAGGGACCCCTTCCACTAGAGCAGCTTGCTCCAAGCCCCTGTGTCCAACCTGGCCTTGAACACTGCCAGGGATGGGGCAGCCACAGCTTCTCTGGGCACCCTGTGCCAGCGCCTCAGCACCATCATAGGGAAAAACTTCTGCCTTATATTTGAGCCAAATCTGCGTTTTTTCATCTTAAAGCCACCCCTCTCTTGTCCCATCACTACAGACCCCTGTAAAATACCCCTCTCTAAATGCCAGGGCTTGAAAACTGAGGGTCTTGGTGGTAGACAGGGAAAAAAATGACCTTGAGCATCCCAAGGACACAGAGATGCAGTGAGGTGAAGAGGTAAAGGCAGCACAAAGGAGTGCGGTCTGTGAGAAAAGGGTGAAAAACCCTGTTTCTGTCAGAATGGGACATGAGTTTCTTATGGGCTTTGCAGGTTGTGAACTTTTCCAAAGCACCAAAGCCCAAACCCCTCAATTCTCTTCTTTTTCCCCTGTTGCTCAACCACGAAACAGCAATGCATCCTGAATGGCGGAACTGGACTCCAGATGCATCCCAAAATCACAATCCCAGACTAAATTCCCCATCCCCTTTGGAGAACCTACCAAAACCAAGGGGCCAGCTTCCCCCAGCACCCTTCCCTTGGCATCAAAATCCAGGCAACAGCAGTGATTCTCTGGCAGCCCCAACTCTGACTAAGCCGTGATTCATCCTCCTTTTTCTTTCTTTGATTTTTTTTTCCCCTTCTAAAGCAAACTTGGAAGCAAAGGAGAAGTCACGTTCATGTCTACGTTCAGTGCAACACGAACCATCTGCTTAGGATGTGTCATGTTGGGGACGCGGTGTGTGATTCCCGGTGGGATCAGAGTTGCGCGGTCCACCCCTGCACCTAGTGCAGTTTGGAGGCATTGGCTGGGAGCCATGCATACATCACCATAGAGCATCATAGAACCATTTGGGTTAGAAAAGCCCTTTAAGCTCATCCAGTCCAACAATTCCCAGCACTGCCAAGGCCACCACTGCCCCATGGCACTGAGGCCTCGTCTCCACGCTGTGTGAACACTTGCAGGGACGGTGACTGCAGCCCTGCCCTGGGCAGCCTGTTCCAATGCCTGAGCACCCTCTGGGGCAGGAATTGTTCCTCAGCTCCATCTAAACCTGCCCTGGGGCAGCTTGAGGCCGGTTCCTCTTGTCCCATCCCTTGTTCCTTGGGAGCAGAGCCCAGCCCCTCCTGGCTCCATCCTCCTCTCAGGCTCTTGTAGGGAGCCATCAGGTCCCCCTGAGCCTTCTCTTCTCCATGGAACCCCCCAGGTCCCTCAGCCCTTCCCCATCACACTTGTGCTCCAGGCCCTGCACCAGCTCCACTGCCCTTCTCTGGCCCTGCTCCAGCACCTCAATGTCTCTCTTGGAGTGAGGGGCCCGGAGCTGAACACAGGATTCGAGATAGGGCCTTAACTCTCATATAGATGCAGCCATACATGCGCTCCATTGCAGGGCAGCAGTTTCCAGCACAGCCTCAGTTTACACGGATGTAAACAGTTCTCCCTACCCTGGGAGGAAGGCTGCAAAAGTCAGGCAGCAGGTGCCCGAATTCTTGTTGGTGCATCAGCAACACCTTCTTGCAACAGACAAAATCATTCCCCTGGGCTGACCAAGGGGTATCTATACACTTATTTGGAAAAAGAAAAAGAAACCAACTGGTCAACGTCCAAAAAACCCATCAGTGGGATCCTGGTGGAGCCAAGAAAATTGGCTGTAATGTATGAGGAGAACCAGGGGCTTTCAGAAAGGTCAAGGAGGAAACCAAATGGTTGGTCCTCCTCTCAGCCACTGGATGCTGAGCTGGTTTTGCTGCTAATGGCACTTCTTTGCATGGACTTGCAGTTTGCGAAGCTTCTGAGGGTCAGGCTCCTGGTGGGGAGGGTTTTGCAAAGGCTGGTACAAGCGGGCTTGGAGAGGAAGATGGAGATCTTGGTCCTTTGTGTCCGCAGCTCCCCCCTGCCCATCACA